CCCTTATGCCTTGACATCCCATTCTATACAGCGCTGATTTCAGACAGAACTGTTCCAATTTCAGGTGGAGAACTATGTGGCTGTTCCTTTCTGACCTCCAGGTGAGGCTGGCAGGGAAACCCCCACCTCTAGCACATCCATTCTCCACATGGGCAGCCAGCCCCAGTGCTCAGACGGCCGATCTGCTCTGAACAAAGGATCCCTTTAATAGCCCTGGACTTGGCCACAGTGGAGATGAAAAACAATCTTGCATCCTGAGGGCTGGACTGTGGCCCAGGGAACCAAAAGGGAGAAGGGCATCTCGGCACAGGCCTCTCAAGAAAGCACTGGTGAATTCCCGCTGAGGGAACACTAGGCTGCCACAGGGCAGCTCTACCAACACCAGGTCTTAGAGCCTTTGGCAGCTGACACCACCAGGTCAGAAAGACAAAGACGGGGGAAGTACTGTCTCCACAAGGACCCCAAAGTTACCATGCAGTCTCCCCGGTCTTCCACACCATCACTCCCTGTCATGTCTTGGGTCAAGGAACTTCCACTGTTCTCTTTCCACAGTGAGAGTTCCAACTCCTACCCTAACTTCTGCCTGAGAGACTGGGATCTGGTGAGACCTGGGTTAGAGAACACTGAGGAGACAGGCTGGGGGTGAGGGGAGGACGCTTGCTGGCCCAGGGCTCTGAAGGACACAGTGAACGGAAGGGAACACATTGCAAAACCTGTACTTGTGCTTATGACCAAGGTCTAACGACACCTCAGAGTTTCCTCTGACTGACCACTGAGGGCTCTCCCTGGACTCCAGCCTTCCACTGCGGGGTACAGCTATCTGCTTCATGGACATGCCATGGTTTTGAAAGATGTGTTAAGGTCAGGAGGAAAGAGAATGAAGGCCATCGGGGAAATACAAAGTCATGAGACAAAGTATTAAACCACAGAGCAAACAGAAAACAGCAAAGAAGTAAATTAAAAGGGGGGAGGAAATAGGGGAACCCCGGAAAGGAAAAGGCCCCTTCACCCCAGAGTCTGGTTGAAGAGTCAAGAATTTCAGTACATTAACAATATTTGCTTTGGAGGTCATCTACACAAGACATGACAATGCTGCTGTACAGAGATACTTCAGGGGAAGAATGCTATCATAGCCATGGTCCATGGCTATAGCCTAAGCACAGGTGACCAACGATGCTTTAATCCCTGCCCAGCTGAAAACCTGCAATTCTCGGATACTCTCACAGGAAACCCCATGGCAAAGGACATATCTTTACCTCATTGTGCAACCCTTGTACCCAAAGTTTCATCAGACTGTTATTCTACCCAAGGCATCCCAGGAGCCACTTTATGACCCCAAAATACAGAAGTGGGGGAAAGAGTCTTGGAAACCCTTTGAGCCTAGTCACTTCCCCTGACTGCCTCTTTCTGCTAATCCTCAGGTTTAACTCTTTGTTAAAATGTCTTCCTAACAGATTCCGACTCCAGGGGCAGGAGACAGCTCAGAGGGGGCCTACCATCAAGGCTAATGGTAACTCAATACCTAAGACCTGTACTAAATAAGAGAACAGCTATCCTCTGACCTCCACGGGCACACAGGTTCTGAAAAGAATTCCTCAGGCTGCTGCTGGTGCCAGTACAGATTGGAGTCTCCAGTCCAGGGCCCTGTCACTCTGATGGTAAGAGTAGGAGTCCAGAGCAAGATGCCAACCTGCCCCAGCCTGGACCAACCACCGCGTCCTTCATGTTCAGAGAAGAGGAGAGGGGAGGAGAGAGGAGGGGAGAAAGGTGGTGGGGCATTCTCATTTACTGGTCTAGAATGGAGGGGCCCTCCATTTCTGGGTCCCTTCCTGGCACTGATCCATCAGGCTATACTCTTTGTCTTTCTAACTTGCATCTTCCTTTTTATCTACTCTCTAAGAAAAGTCCCTGTTTTCATACTGATTGGAAGAATTTAGGACTGAAATTTCCTGAGTTCCTCTAAAATTCTGAATCCAATTTTAACCAGATCTTACTGACAAACTAAGAAACAGGACTGCAAATTCAGTTTTTTTTTTAAAAATGTCTTTTAAAACCTACTTATTTAGTTTTATGTAATTGAGTGTTTTGCCTGTGTGTGGGTGCATATGTGCATGTGTATACATATGTATGTGTATGTGTGCACGCATGTATATGTGTATGAACATATGTGTATAGATATGCATGTATGTATTGCGTTTGTGTGTGTGTGTGTGTGTGCATGTGTGTGTATATATATGTGTGTGTGTATACCACACATAGGCCTGGTGCCTGAAGAATTCAGAAGAGGGTGCTGGAGACCCTGGAAATGGGGTTGTGGACAGTTGTGAGCCACTGTGTAGGTTCTGGAAATTCAACCTGGCCCTCGGCATCTTCTCTCCAGTCCATGGCTAATTTTTTTTTTTTTTAATACAAAGGACTTAGGTTAAAACAAGACCAAAAAAGAAAAAATGGGAAAAGAAAACCCCATTGGCAAGAGGACTTTCTAAATCCCACTTCTAAGAGCAGAGATCTCCTGGAAGGAAGGGAAGGAGGGGCAGCGCCCTGTGTTAAAATGCCTCTGCTGAATAACTTAACTCAATAATAAGTAAAATAATAATACTAATATGTGAAATAATAATACTAATAAGTGAAGGAACTATTAGAAGCCTCCAGATAACCGGGAACAGACGCTGAAAAGCCACTGTGTTGTCTGTGGCAGTTAAGGGGTTAAGAAAGGAAAAAGGGTAGCAGAAGGGCCTGGCTACAGGACACTTGTAAGTTTGGCACCTGAGCACAGGCCCCCAAACTCACTTAAAGGTGAAAGGAGAGAGCCAGCTCTACCAAGGTGTCCTCCTGCTTCTGCATGCACAGCATGGCACGCGGACACCTACGCACAATTAAAAATAGTTTTCTAAAGGTCATCTGAGCTGAATGGGAGGGGGCAGGATATAAGGTGGTGTTTTGATAGGGATGGAACTTTAGAATTCCAGGATTCATGGAAAGGGTGTCATTTCAGATTAGCAGGAGTGGGGATTCCTGGAACCAACGACAGGGTTGCCCTGGAAAGGAAGAAGGGAAACACGGGCTTTTCCTGTCCCCACCTCCTGGACAGGTTCCTCTCTGCTCGTGCATAGGCAGGCAGCCAACCCTGCAGTTTGAGTTCACAGTCAAAGGAAAAAACCATCTGGGTGGAGTGTGCACCTCTCACTCATCCCCCACAGCACAGGCTACTGTCAGTGCCGGGAGGGGACAGGTTTGCAGACACTCAAGCCTCTCTGGGACACATCCAGAGAGCTAGAGGGAAAGAAGGAAAGGTCTGTAAACAACCCTCCAACATTTGCTTCAGTTCTAGGTTTCAGTCTATAAACTTATTATTTTTAATAGGCAGCATTCAGTGGTGTGTGACATCTAGTCAGTTAGACAACAGGGGGGCGACATCACTGACAGGCAGAAGATGCTTTCTCTGGGTGGGTGGGGGAAGTCAGAGAGCGACACGGGAAGAGGCCTCAGCATGCAGGGTCTCCTGCCAGGCAGAGGTACAGACAAAAGATGGCCATAGGGCTAAAACACAGGGGGCCAGCAGGAACCTGATGACATGACTCCTTGGCAGCCACCTGCCCTCGAGAGCATTCCAACACAAAATAAAAAGAGCCTTGGAGAAGGGATAGAATGTTGTCTACTTATTCTTCTAAAACTGCCAGTCTGGTGGTGGTGTTAGGGAGCAGCTGGGCTTTCTGTGCACACTGTCAAACCACCTCAACAATAAATGAGAAAGCTAGGCTTGAACACTGCTAGGTCTCAACTGGGTCAAAGCTCAGGAGCACTGTGCTCCAAAGTCTGGCTCAAATCTGTTCAAGCTGTTTCACCATCATTCTGTCCCCTGCTCATAACACAGTGCCACACCCTAGGGAGAGCATAAGTGGCCAAAAAGGCCAGGGAGTATCACGAGCAGTATGGGAAACGCAAGCGCTAATGCACACAGAAGGCTCACACTGCCACTCAGCCAGGGCATCAGTAAGAAAACAGCAATCGCCAGCATCACCCATGTCACCCCATCCCTGTACGTCAACTACATGTGTAAGGAAATTCAGTTTAAAAAACAGAATATGGTTTTAGATTATCCTAGTTAGGAACTAAAAGCACAAAAACAAAACCAAGAAAGGCCTTCCCTCCGCATCTGTAGAGAATTGTTCCAGTTCCTCCCAAGGATCCCAAATCTCAGATAGATACTCATGTTACTTATATAAAATTTTATGCTGTGGTGTTTGCAAATAACCAATGCATATTTTCCCATATAGTTTAAATCACATTTATATCTCTCCTAATATTTAGCCTAAACATTATATAATCACTGTTGTACTGTACTGCTTAAGAAATATTATCAGATGAGGATAAAACACTCTACATGATCGATACCAACATCATTTTTTCCCCAAATATTTCTGATTCAGAGTTGCCAGAATCCATGGAGCCACAACCAGCGGATGTGTTAAAAATAAGCAGAGTCATATTCCCAAACTGAGGGGAGGAAGAAAATTCCACTAGAACCTATCCTCAAGCAGTCAGCAGCGTACATGGGGGAATCGGCTAGCTACCAAGGAGATACAGTTAGAGATCACAATTAGATACCCACGCAAATACTACCCTTGACTACCTGCATCACCATTAGGCACTAAACCAACCTCCCAGGTGGCACTGCAAAAGCCTTGGAGGTGGGAAAGATGTGCATCTAACTTTGAAAAGCTTTTACCAGCCAGGCCTTCTGGCTCAGGCCTATTAACTCCAGGATCCAAGAGGCAGAGACAAGAGGACCACAAGTTCAAAGCCAGCCTAGGCAACTTAGTGAGCTGCTGTCTCAACAGAAGAAGTAAAGGGGGACTGGGAATGTATTTAGTTGTTGAGAACTTGACATGCACAAAGCCCTAGGTTCAATCCCCAACACCACCCACTAAAAGTTTACCAACTTCTCCAGAAGACCATCCTGTCCCGTTCCCCCAAACACACAAAAAAATCAAACATACCTGGCTCCAAATATGTCCTTTTTGGCGAGGTCAATTCCAGAAACAACTTTTACTCTGAGAATACGGGATTCCCCCTGTTAGAAAGAGAAAGGGGAAAATAACAAGGTTAAAACTGACCCTTAATAGAAAACTGTCTCAACTGGAAGCTTCAAGTGGGCAATTTCTACTCAGTCTGACATTGAAATATACTTCAGTTCAAGCTCTGGCAATTCCTGCTCACAGTTAAGTTCAGAAGGTGGCACAGCTGGTCTACAATGCTCAGACTCCAACCAGGCACGGTGACATAATCCTGAAACTCAGTACAAGTTTCAGACCACTTACACAGTGAGGTACAGGCTAGTGAGGGCTACGTATCAAGACCCTGATTGTGTATATATAAATCTGGACGGGAGGCTGGCAAGATAGCTCAGTCAGCAAAGAGTCAGCTACACAAGCATGGGGACCTAAATCAATCCCCAGAACCCACAGAGAAGAACCAGGCATGGCATGAGTTTGTAATCCCAGTGCTGGGAAGGCAGGATAGGTGGATCCCTGGGGCTCACCGAACAGCAAGTCTATCTGACTTGTTGGATTCCACACCAGTGAAAGACTGTTTTTAAAGAAAAAAACAAAACAAAACAAACAGAACACCAAGGTAGATAGATAGCATTCTGAGGAATGACAATGGACACACAAAGGAAAAAGATGTTAAGATTCTGGAAGCTGCAGCATGCAGATTAACAAAGCACAAGTTCAAGTCTAAGTAGGCAGGTCATTAATATCAATTACTTCTGATATTTGTGGAAATATTGCCCAGCTGTACCCAGAACACAACCACGGGAGCCACTGAGGTGTTATCTTCTAATAACCAGGTACCAAAATCACTGTAATTCTATCCTTCAAGTGTATGTATTTATAAATGTGACCAGAGATAGAAAAGAAGGAAGTTTTATGTGGTGAAATATTTCTAAAACAAAACAACCAAGTGTTTTTCAAGCTGCAGTTTTACTGAGCAAAAATAATTCCCTATTTCTGATATAAAGAAGTAACAGCCTCATTCTGAAAGGTAACCTCAAACTGGCTAGTCAACTTTCCATCATCCATCCAGTCATCAACTCCTTTCACTCAGTCTAGTATTTAAGTATCTTTTACACAGTGGGCACCGCACTTGGTCTTCAGATAAAAAACAGAAATCGTTCCTAGGTCTACTTACTAAAAGTAACCGACACCAGCACACTGGCAGCAGGTGAGAGGTCAAAGGTTGAGGAACACCTGAGGATAGAGGTGTGGCATAGAAGGAAGACTGAGCCAAGGACACAAAAGTCTGAGTTTGGGTCACTAGTAACATAAACTGAGATGAAAAGCCGTGTCCAACATGCCTAGGCAGCAAATCAGATGGCCAATGGGAGAAAGGCTGGGTCTGAGCTGAGACTTGAGAGCTAGTTAGCAGAGGGCTGGAGGTCGGTGTGACAGACGGTAGCATGTGGAGAGTTAACCAGGAAGAACAAAAGGAGGTGATGACCAGGAATGGAGCCCTTGGAACACTAGTGCTGAGCAGTCGGAGAGAGGCAACTAAAAATTCATCTGCCAAGTAAGTTAAGACCCGGGAAGACCTATATGACATCATAACAATGAAGGAGAAAGACAGAAAAACAAAAGGTGGATCAAATCTGGTACCCTGCCTTTGCTAATGAACCACCGACCCACAATACATACGGGCCAACCACACCGTGTGCTTGAGATGACTTACACCTCAGGAGTCTTCCACCCCTCCACCACGAATCCACCCTCCCCCACTTTTCCTCTCTCCCTCCCTGATGTAACACTGCTTCCACAAAATGCAGAGAAGGATGCAAAAACGTAAAGCAAGATCTCTCAACATGTCTGTGCTGGGGCCATCAGCTCGGCGGTGCTTTCCTAGACCTGGGCTCACTCCCCAGCATCCAAAACAACAGCAGTGTTGGACATCCACAAAGGGGTGATCAGGAGAGGGAATGTAAGGGCAGATTCGGCAGGGATAACCAAGACACCATGCTACCTTAGTACAACAGTCTCCCATGCGGCTACCAAAGTGCCTCTGAGTGTTGCTGGAATCGCCCTGTCCTGTCTCTTGTATATTTACAGACCAGAGATCAAGAATTCTTTCTGTGGCACATGGTGTTCTGCAGGCTCTTTTCTCTTTCTTGCCAAGCTATCCTTTGCCCCTGGTCACATGGTGCCTCCCAGAGCCTTCTCATATTGAGGGATGACACAGTGAAACCATTTTTTATACATGGATCAAAATCTGGTTAACGTACTTCTGCAGAATTCTTTGTCTGACAAGGGTATGTGGCTTGCTGGTGCCCAATGCATAAAAACGGAGAGTTAACCATGTACCTACCAAATGAATGGATCCATGCCTAATCAAAGAGGGCACAAGGAACCTCAATACTGGAGCCAACAAGTCTCCTAAATGCAGCTATGCTGCGGGTTGTAGATGGGAGTGGGGGACAGGGGAGTGGAATTTGAAGATACCACAATGGATGGAAACTGTTAGAAAAGGTGACAGATGCCACTCAAGGGACACCTGGTAGCAAAGGTGTGAATGACCCCGAGGTAGAGGAGCAGGAGCCTGTAAAGCCACTAGTGCTGCTTAGGTTCAGCTCAGACACAGCTGTGGCTGTCCACACCTGCAATGGTGGCTGTGAAGATGGAGAGATAATGTCTATGATGGAGCTCGAGGGACTGATGGTCACTCACCACAGAACAGAAGAAAAGCATGCTGGTGAGAAACTCTTCACGCTCCTCTCAGAATTTTCAGAAACCATGGGGAGAGTCTTGCTCAACAAAGATTATTTGATAGGGACCTCGACCCAACTGTAACCAGGTGGGAAGACGGGCATCTGCATTCCCATTGAATGAAGGGTCCTACTTAGGCAGCCTGCTTCCCAAACTAAGAAAAAAATCAGGCAACATTTACATGAGTAAATGATGAAAAATAAGCTGAAATAAAGAGGAAGCTAGAATTTTCTAAGGGAAATCAGTTCTTTCACTTAGTAAATGTGAGCACCTGTTCTGAAATCTAAGTCAAAATATAAGGAAGATACTGAGGTCAACCTGCCCTGCAGCCAGGCTTCCCCTGCTTCTAAGAGGCAGCTCCCCAAAGCCTGCGTAAAACAGGAAACACAGCCCAGCAAGAGCTTGCTAAGGGATTGGCAGGGGGTATCTCTAAATCCCCTAAAATTTCATTCATGCTCTTTGTTAGACAGAATCTCATTTATAAACCAATCCAAAGTAAATCACCCCAGGCGTGGAGGCACACACCCTAAATCCCAACACTCAGGAGGTAGAAGCAGGCTGATCTGAGTTTGAGGGCTGGCCAGGTCTACAGAGTGAGGGCCAGGACAGTCAGGGCTGTTACACAAGAGAAACTATGTCTTGAAAAAACAAAACAGAACGACAAAAAGGAGGAGAAAAAGAAAAACAAGGAAATCGCACATGAGGATAAGGGAGAAGGAACAATGAACAGAAGCACTTGTCACACCAAATGTGAGGACTTGAACTCAGATCCTTAGAGCCCTGGCACAGGGGCATATCTGTAATTCCAGGGCTCCCATTGCAAGACAGAGGTGAAGAGAGAATCTCAGAAACTCCCAGAAAAGCTAGTATGTGTATGCAGTGATTTCAAAGTGGAAGGCTAGTTTCTGATCTCTACATATGTACCATGGCACGCGTGCACACGCGCACACACCCACACCCAGACAAACATACCCACACCCTCACACACACACTGAAATATCTTTTAAGTCATATATAAATATAAAAACAAACAAAAAATGTCTTGAGGGTTGGCAGTCAAGACTCATTTTCATCTGAAATGAAATCTAAAAAGCTTCTACAACAGACAGCTAATTCATCTAAAGGGCATAAAATAACTGGAGATGTGGCTCAGCCAAACTAGACAACCTGAGAGTTTATATCCCTAGAAAGGAAGGAAGGAAGGAAGGAAGGAAGGAAGGAAGGCAGACCAAAAAATAATAGAATACACCACCTCTGGGTACAGTACCACACGCCTACAATCTCAGTGAATAGGAAGTAGCGATAAGATGGACCCTTGAGAGTTCCTAGACAAACCATTTCAATGAGAGACTTAGCTCCATGTTCAGCAAGAGATCTTGTCTCAAAGGTAAGGTGCAAAACTCCTGAACAAGACCCTACATCAACCTCAGCCCTTCACACATGTTCTTGTACATGCACATGCACGCGCGCGTGCGCACACACACACACACACACACACACACACAAATATGTAATAAAGACTGCTTGGAGGCTGAATCTAGAATTCCAACCAGACCTTGAAGGAGGAATTTCCAGAGTCAGTTCACTAAGCACTGGGTCCTGAGACCAGGACCATGCAAAGCTTGACCCTAAGACCTCCATAGTCTCTCCTCTGCCTGCTCACCTGCCACACCCCCACCACTATGATGCTGAACGAACATAGTTGGAGTTTGGACCCAGAGTTCCAGCCAGAACGCCGGATCAATAGGTTGCTCAACCTTTATCAGAGACACTTCCTGCAACAGATGAGAATTTAAACAGAGTCCCACAATTAGACAATGTGCGGAAAGTGACAGACTTTGGAACGTTCAGCCCAGAATAGGATGCCTTTATTTGGACCCCTCCCCTTAAGGTTCAGGGATCTATGCAAGAAGGGGTGGAATGACTGTAAGTGCCAGAGGTGATGAAACAGTGTCTTCCAGATACAACAGGACTGTGCACCTACGGGCTCACAGACACTGTGGCAGCACACAGGGGGCGCACTGCAGAAGATCAAGCCAGACAGAAATCCCAGCACAGAGAAGGCAAAGCAGAACAAGTTCCACCCCTAACCAAGAAGCTATTTGCAATTGAAAATGTCTGGGAAAGAGGAAAATCCACTTCCTTCAATGGAGTGTCATTCATTGGGTCTATCAACCACATTCCAGGGCAGCGCCACACCCAGGAGGAGTTGCCCAACATAAATAGTATTCCGTGTGTGTGTGTGTGTGTGTGTGTGTGTGTGTGTGTGTGTGTAGTTTTGAAGTTTGGTGGGGTAGGGAGGTGGTGGAGGATCTGG